AAGACTTTACAAGTTGTTCTCCTGCTTCATCTCTGATACCAGGGCCAAAATATCTACATTTGTTTTTGCCTTGTGTTCTACTTTTGCATTCTAGTCACCTATGATTATAAGTGCGTCTTGTTTTGGTATGTGTTCAGTTTGCTTCTGGATGCTTGCATAAAATCTTTCATGTTCATCTTCCTCAGCATTGGTAGTTGGAGCATAGTCTGGAATGATGGTTATATTGATAAGCTTCCCCAAAAGTCTGATAGCTATTATTTGATCAGATCTCACATTATAGCTCTTAAAATGGCTGTGCTATATCTTGCCTCAGTTTTAGGTCTACTGTATTTCTTCTGATGTTGTCATTTCCAGAGTAGAATACTTTGTAGTTATCTGGCTGAAAATATCCTGTACCAGTCCACTTAACTGACACCAAGCACTGCAACATTTTATATCCACTTCTTGCTTTATGTTTTCCAGTTTACCTTGATTTATACTTCTCACATTCCATGTTCCAGTTGTACGTGTTCTGTATCTCTGGACTTTTTTTTCACTTGTGTACACATCAGCCACTAGATGTCATTTGGGCTCTAATCTAGTTGCATTATTAGTAATAACGCTATTTGTACTTGTCCTTTGCTCTTCCCCAGTAGTTGATTGAGTGCTTTCTGACCTGGGAGTCTCATCTTCCAGTACTATCTCTTGTTTCATTTTGGACTGGATTTTAATGAAAAGAAAAGTTCAATAGTGGTGTACCATTGGCACCTTCTGTGATGTACTGTATTAACAAAAGTTAGCTTAAATGTTTACCGCTATTGCCTCCTCCACCAATGTCACCTTCAGCTATCACTACTGCCCAGTAGGTGCTGCCCCATCACCATTAGAACTATACATTTTCTTCTGCTGATAAAGTTTTTATTCTTGAAGAGAATGGATGCATCTTAGCCTGGTGTCTCAACTGTGATCATTCCACCTTGCATGACCCTGCTAGGAGTCCAGGCTCAAAAGAGAGTCTGGCCTCCTGACAACTCTGCTCTCAGCTTCACTGACATACAGTGGTGCCTTGCTTAACGAGCGCACCATTTAACGACGAATCCGCATAGCGATCTAATTTTTTAGATCGCTAATGCAATCGCATTGCAATGTTTTAATGGGTGAAACATCGCATTGCGATGATCGGTAAGCGTTTCGCTTACCGATCTTTGCATTGTGATTTTTTTTATACAGCTGATCAGTGGTTCCAAAATGGCTGCCAGGTGCCCAAAATGGCCACCGCAAGTGTTTTCGTGCCCTGCCCTCGCTTACCGAGGGCGCGAAAATGGCGGCGCTATGGAGGAACTTCGCTGAACAGTGAGTTTGGGCCTCATACGAGGTTTTTTCGATCCATTTAGCAATGTTTTTGCATAGCAACAATTAATCCGGAATGGATTAACGTCGCTATGCGGGGTACCACTGTACAGTGAAGACCCCTTTAACACATTGAGTTTGCATCCAAAAAGGGGCTATTTTTGATACTCTATAATAATTGTGGAAATGCCAATATAATGCTTGTGTATTTGGGGGGAAATGAATTCATATTTAAAATACCAAATATTGACTGAAATTGTGTAGCTTAAGTGTAATAAGTCACGAGTAGAATAGTAAGTTGCAGCTGGTGTAGCCCCATTGAATCAGTGGGGATTTGATCAGTCACCTTCTCCCCAAATTTCATTGATTCTGCAGGTCTGCGTTAGTTGTAACCTACTACACAAAGCAACAGGATTTCAGCTGCTGGGTCATTAGTAATTTCTAAGCTTCCTCTCCTGTTGCAGTCATTTCATCAACATTTTTTCATCAATAGTACCTAATAAAAGTTGTAAACTTGTTTTTTCTTTATTACTATTCAGTACAAACTGAACTTGTAAACTATCAACACTTGACAATTGAAAAACAACATAGCATTTGTATCAAAATGTGGCATAGCTCAGTGTGAGGGGTTATGGGAACATTTAGAAGGGTTTAAAATAACTTATTGGCTGGAATAAAGAACGATTGACCTGTCAGTTGTGATGGATTAAAGAAACACTTGGAAGTTACGTAACTTGTTAGGTTTATTAAACCTCCGGTCAGAGGCACCATCAAAAATAGAAAACTGAAATGAATGCTGCCAGTTTTCCAGTAGCTGCTAATCAGTAGCTCTGGCTGCAGTAGAAGTTACACACCATTCCACTGTTTCAAGATAACCTGGGATACAAGGCAGTAGAGAGTACCTCCCACCAACCATTGACTAATTTGAACTGGACTCCTTTGGATTGATTGGTTTATTGATTCAGTCCACAGAGGCAGTTACAGTAGGCTTCTTACCTCCAAAGACTGCAGTTTACCAAAGCCTACCATAAGTAATATTTCAAATGGTACCATAGTGCTTTCCCCATAGACTAGGATGTCAAGAACTCCCACAACACAGCAGCAGTAGTAACCAAATAAAAAAGAAAACAAAAAGAAAATATAACAACTGAAATCCTGTTGCTTAGTGTCACAACTAGATTAGGCCCACTGAATCAGTGGAACTTATTTATTATCTTTATATAACAGTTTATAAAATTATTATCCACAAATAATAATAATAATAATAATAATAAAAAAACAGGAGGGAATCAGGGAAAATATATCCCTCCAAGCCATTGTTATGTCCCTCTTTGCAACTTGTTAAGCATACTAGGAACTGCCACTCCACCCACCAAACCTGGGTGCAACCCCCAAATGCCTTCATATGTGCACATATTTTGATACATTTGCACTGCATACTGTATTCTTATATGTTACAATATATTATTGTAATATATTTTCAATATACTATCTCTGTGTGTTGTGTGTGTGTGTATCTAGCAATCCTGCAAAAACTTACTTAGCCCTCCCAAAAAATTTTGTAATTCAGACCTTCAAGTCCCTCCTGCACCACGTACAAATACAAGCTATGTCTGTTTCTTGAGAGAACTGATCTGGCCACTGCGATGCATTCCCTAGTTACTTCCTAACTGGATTACTGCAATGCACTCTATGTTTAAAGTGCTGATTTAAACCTATAACGCTCTAAACAGTCTGGCCCCAAGCTATCTCAAAGACTGTATCTCCCATTATGAGCCAGCGTGGGTGTCAAGATCATCAGGAGAGAGCTTTCTCTCATCCCATCACCTTCACAGGTGCACTTGGTGGGGACACAGGAGAGGGCCTTTTCTGTCGCTGCTCCCAGACTTTGGAACTCCCTCCCACAGGAGGCCAGCCTGGCCCCATCTTTGCTGTTCTTCCACAAGCAGGCAAAGACCTTTCTCTTTAGGCAAGCCTTTCCTCAGTAAACAACCTGTGTGTAATTTTTAGATACTTGTGCATTACTGCTTTGTCTGGATTATTAGTACTATTTGTGTTTTCTATTGTAGTGTTTTCCATTTCTCAGAGTGATTTTTTTGTATACTTATTAATCTCTTCCTTAATATTGCCTGTTAATGTAAGTTGCCTCCTTATTCATTGTTCATAGTGTTAAATATAGGCTTTTAATGATATTAACAACTGTTGGATACTCATTGTTTTCAACTGTAAATATTCTCTTTCATTGTTTGTAAGCCGCCTTGAGTCCTTTTCAAGGAGAATGGTGGGGTAAAAATATTTTAAATAAAATAATAAATAAATGTATTGTTTGCAAACAACTTTGTAGTGCCTTATCTGTAGATGAGAAGAGGAACTAGAGGGTGCTCAGTCAGCATGCCAATAAGTATAAAGGAATTGTCTGATAGCAACAACAGCTTAAAATGGTTTAGACAAACTTAGGGAGAAGAAATCTACCAGTGATTACTAGCTATTTATATCAAATATGTCACTAAGGTGAGATTTATTTATTTTTTAAGATGGGAAAGATGGATTTCAGGGGCAAAATAATTGGCAGGGTGGAAGGTTTAAGTTGTGGGCAAAAATAATGGAACTAAGGCTGTCGTAGTTTGGACACCTCATAAGAACTCAGTTATTGGTGGAAAATACAGTAATACTAGGACAGCTATGGTGAACCTATGGCACGCGTGCCACAGCTGGCACGCAGAGCCCTCTCTGTGGGCACACAGGCCATAAGTCACCATAGAGAAATACTTACCCGTCCTCTGATCCTGGATTTTGGCACTCCCCTGTGCTGCTGCAGTGGTCCAGCGGGGTGATACAATGGCGACCATTACCAATCTAGCCCAATGGTGGATTGGAGGACCAGTAAGTATTTATTTGTTAATACCACCCATAGCAAAAAAAAGCATTTAACCCTTGCAGTGCAGGAGCAGTTGTTTTTTCCTAAGCTGAAACTTGAGCATTCGTGTTTTAATTGCAGTATTGGCACTCTGAAATAAATAAGTTGATTTTGTGTTGCAGTTTGGGCACTTGGGCTCAAAAAGGTTCACCATCACTGTACTAGGAAAAGCACAAGAGGAGGACCAAATGTGAGTGCACTGACTCCATAAAGGAAGCCACAGTTTGAGTGTGGAAAAGCTGAACAGGGTTGTTGAGGACAGGGCATGATGGAGCTCCCTCGTTTCGAAAGCGGCCGTACTTTGGAGGCGTCTTGAGCGCACCTTGGCAGCCGCGGGGGCAATGGGAGTGTCGGTCCCTATTCGGATCGGGATGTTGACTCAGAAGTAACAAAACGGCGAGGGGAAGTGAACCAGGAGGAGCGACGTGAAAGGGGAACGAAAGCCTCCACTGGGGAGAAACGGTGGCCACAAGCTCCCGCTCTTCAGCAAGGCCTGCTTTCGGGTTTGGCAGGCGAAAGGAGGCCGGGTCGGACTCAAAGCCGGGGGAGGAGCGGATCCGGAGCTGGCCCGGCCGCGTCGAGGCGCGCCACC